AGACGAACGAGCACACATGTGATTCCACACGCGATCGCATGTGCGCAACTACTCGCACGGATACGGGCGTTTCCTTCGAGTATGGGGAAGGGATAGAACGTGGAGTCTGTAAGATGTGGTAGGGGAATTGCGGTGCAGTACCACCGTACGCCATACGCCCACCAGCCCTCTGGGCGTAGGCGGTTTAGAGCGTTTCCTCTTCCACCCCTCCTTCCCCTTCGCGGAGGGGTTTACCCCTCCCCCTACCCCCTTCCCTGGACCTGGACGGGGGGTTTCGCGAGGTGTCAGTGCATCCAAAACGGCCTCGGAAAGGAAGCCAACATCATACATAATACCAATGTTTGGGCCGCATTTTGGCCTCCTGGGGGGGCGACTGTAATCCATAACCCCCCCTCCTGTGATCGATCTCACCCAAGATGGCCCAAAGATGGCCCCCAAGGCTCCCAAGGGTGCCCCAAGATGGCCCAAAGATGGCCCCAAGAGGCCCCCAAGAGGCCCCCAGGAGGCCCCCAGGAGGCCCCCAAGAGACCCCCAAGAGGCCCCAAGAGACCCCCCAGAGGCACCCAAGATGCTCCAAGAGGCCTGGGCGAGAATGCCGAATCATTGAGTTCACGCAGGTTTTAGCCACATGTTGGCCTCTTGGGGGGGGGGGGGGGGGCACTGATTCAGATGACTCCAAGAGCGCCTGGGAGTGCCCAAACTGACCTCCAAGATGGCTCAAGATATCCCAAGATGTCTCATAATGATTTCCTCTGTGTGCTGCCCGCATCGTTTCTGGATGGGCTGGTGGGGATTCGCAAATCGTCAACAATTCAAGAATTCCTCGAATGACTGGCACATGTCTGCGGCTGATTTAATATCTTTGGCGTGCAACAGTACCTCTCTCTCACTCTGCCTGTCTCTCTCTCTCTCTGTCTCTCTCAGTTGTCTCGCTCTCTCTCTCTCTCATTCTCTCCCTCTCCTTCCCTCCCTCTGCCCCATCCATATATCTCTTTCTCTCTCTCTCTCGCTCTCGCTCTCTCTCTCTCTCTCTCTTTCTCTCTCTCCCTCCCTCCCTCCTTCTCTCTCTCTCTCTCTCTCTCCACACACCCCACACCCCCTGCTGGGCCTCGCAGCGTCTGCCTGCACAACTCTTCTTCTGGGCGGGCTTCTCCCGCCTCTTCTCGCGCCCTCCGCGCCTCCATTCGCCTCCAGTGCGACCCACCGCTTGCTCACCGGCGCCTGATGGCTGTCTTGGACCACTTGGCTTATGTTATCCCCATCGTACTTAAGGACCACATTAAGGACCACATCCCAGAAATAATTTCGAGCACCCATAGAAGTATCGAAACGGTGTCGAACGAGTACCGCCTCCCAGGGCCCAACACGCGAACATCCTCCAGCTCCGGTAATTACTTTCCTGGCGCTCGAAATTCTTTCTGGTGGTCAAGGCCAAAGTAGGTTGGAACATCAAACACCTGGCGGCGGCGGCCTCATAGCGGCAGCGGGCCTAGGAGGGAAGCGCGAAGGGGCGGGCCTTCTCGGAAGGCTCGGATGCCCCCCAGACTCCTGAAGCTTCCCGAGCCTTCCCCGAAGAGGCGGAGAGCACTCCTCAGAAGGCGGGGAGCCCTTCTGAGATGCCCCGCCGCCTTCTCTTCTCACGCCCCCCCGGGCGCGCCGCCACATATTGGTCAGAATCGGTCCCCGGAGTCCGGGGACCGATTCAGAATATTGTCGGGAGCGGCCAAGAGGGGGGTGTCCAAGAGGGGGGGGGGTGCAAATCATGACCGGCGGCATGTGCGCGGCCCAGCGGGGGGGCCTGGGACGTAATGAAACAAGATGAGGCGCCATGAAATCTGGGGAGATATCATGGCCCCCGCCATGATATCCACCCCCCCCCTAGTCATCATCACCCCCTCTTTTCCGCCCCCGATATCCCAGACCCCCGACGTCATGATTTTTTCATGACGTCGACCCCCAGAGGTCTGGACCCATTCCCCAGGACCGGTTTTTCGTCCTGAATCGTTTTTTGACGGCCCCGAGGGCCGGTAAGGGCCCCGAGAGGCCAAAAATAATGAAAAACCTCCCGTCGTGATTTTTTCATGACTCGAGGGGGTCTGGGATTGGAGTCCGCCAAATATTGGCCACCATCGGGCCACGGGAGGGGCCCGGGGCCCGGACCCCCCCCGTGGCCCGTCCGGCGCGGTGCCTCCTCTCGAGTCGGGCCTCGGAGCTCCGGCGCCCCGACGGCGACCCCCCGAGGCCGAGCACTGCGCAAACCTGCCTCGAACCTCCCCTGAGTGAAGGGGCCCCAGGACACACAAATAAATACACACAGATAAAAACATTCCCCATATTTTCCCATATTTTCTGGGTTTTTGTCTTCCCCCCCACTTCCCATATTTTCCCATATTTTCTGGGAATCTACGATTAATTGTGTCTGTGTTGTTTCCCCTCCTGACTGAGATCCGACGTGGAACAAAAATTGCAGCATCGGAAAAAAAACACGACGGGAGCCCCAGACCCCATCTCTCTGCGCCACTTCTCGAGCCCGAGCGATCTGTGCGGGTCCCGGGGCCCGATATCGAGCGAGAACGCCCGGCGTGACAAAAACTGCAACGCCAGGATCTCAGGGTCGCAGTTCGAGCCTCGAGCCTCGAGCCTCGAGCCTCGCTTCCCCCCCTCGCTCGCCGCCGATTGTTGAGCGGGGACCGACCGTCCTGGCATTCCAAAAGTCCTACCACGAACTGTTCTTAGAACCCAAAAATGTTCTAAGAACAAAAACCACGTTCTTAGAACATAAGCCCGATGCGATAAAACAAGACAGTCCCAGCCAGAAATGTTCTCAGAACATTTCGTGGGAACCACAAAAGGTTTTTAGAACATTGTTTGATAAGGCTATAGGCACGCCAAGACGCTTCGCCACTGCTTGACCATTGTAAAAGCGCAGGGCTTCGTGGCGCGCCCGGCTCGCTGCCGTGGCACCGCTGGCCGCGGCTGTCGCCGGGCGTCGTCTCCGCAGCCCGGGCGGCCCTCCGCCCCTCTCCCCAGAACGTCGCGCTGTCGGCTGCTCCACGGCCCTTCGGTGGACAGCTTGCCCACACTTGTTCCTCCTCCTCCTCCTCCTCCTCCTCCTCCTCCTCCTCCTACTCCCTCCTCGTCGTCCTCCTCCTCCTCCTCCTCCTCCTCCTCCTCCTCCTCTCCCCTCCACCTCCCCCTCCCCTCCCCCTCCCCTCCTCCTCCTCCTTCTCCTCCTCCTCCTCCTCCTCCCCTCCTCTCTCCTCGTCTCTCCTCTCCTCCTCGTCCTCTCGTCCTCCTCCCTCCTCGTCCTCCTGTCTCCTCCTCGTCCCCCTCGTCCTCCTCGTCCTCCTCGTCCTCCTCGTCCTCCTCTCGTCCTCCTCCTCCTCCTCTCTCTCGTCTCGTCCCCTCGTCCCCTCGTCCTCCTCGTCTTCCTCCTCCTCCTCCTTCCCCTCCTCTCCTCCTCCTCCTCATGTTCCTCCCCCCCCCTCCTCCTCCTCCTCCTCCTCCTCCTCCTCCTCCTCCTCCTCCTCCTCCTCCTCCTCCTCCCCCTCCCTCCTCCCTCCCTCCCTCCCTCCCTCCCTCCTCCCTCCCTCCCCCCTCCCCTCCTCCTCCTCCCTTCCTCCCTCTCTCCCCCTCCCTCCCTCCCTCCCTCCCTCCCTCCCTCCCCCTCCTCCTCCTCTCTCCTCCTCCTCCTCCTCCTCCTCTCCTCCTCCTTCTCCTCTCCTCCTCTCCTCCTCCTCCCTCCGCCTCTCCTGCTCCTCTCCTCCTCCTCCTCCTCCTCCGCCTCCTCCTCCTCCTCCTCCTCCTCCTCCTCCCTCCTCCTCCTCCTCCTGCTTCCTCCTCCTCTCCTCCTCCTCCCCTCCTCCTCTCCTGTTCCTCCCTGTTCCTCCCGTCTCCTCCCTCTCCTCCCTCTCCTCCTCCTCCCTCCATCCCTCCTCTCCTCCTCCTCCTTCTCCTCCTCCTCCTCCTCCTCCCTCCTCCCCCTCCTCCCCCCTCCTCCTCCCCCTCCTCCTCCCTCCTCCTCCTCCTCATCCTCCCTCTTCTCCTCTCCTCTCCCCTCCTCCTCCTCTTCCTCCTCCTCCTCTCCCCTCCTCCTCCTCCATCCTCCACCTAATCCCTCCTCCCTCCTCCCTCCTCCCTCCTCCCTGCCCAGAATCTCTGAAGTCTGGCGGCTCAGGAGGATGTCTCGGGCGCCGCGGCCTTCTCAGAGCGTTCCGGACGGGAACGCTCTGGAAAGGATTTATCCTCACCCTAGCCCCGCCCGAAAAATACAGCACGATCGCTCTTCTCAATCGGAACCAAACCTACGGGGCGAAGCATCAAACTGATCCTGAACCGGGAAAAAACCGTCCCCCTGCCTCCCGCTGCTGCTGCATCCCGGTCATACTTTGCGAGATCGGCCTTATCTGAGGTAGCTGCGGCTCAGTCTGTGCGACCCCGAGAGTGGGGTCAGCACGACGCTGAGAGACAAGTGCGTGCTGGAGATGTGTCAGTGCCCGCTTGCGTTAGGTCGGGCGTGTCCCCTACAGGCGGATTTTGGATGACAGATTAGAAATAGTCAAACAATACTCCAACAATTGTCAAACATAGTCGAAACATCGTCCCCATACTATTGTTTGGCTATTTCGGAATATTCCTCCTTTAGAGGGACACGCCCGACTTAACGCTTGCGGCTTGCGTGCGTCATTAGTGGACTGCATGCTACCATGGGGCGCAGGCAAGAAACGGCAGGGGGGGAGAAGTATCCAGGAACCAACGGGCATGAGACAAGGGGTAGGCCATCGAGCAATATGTGCTGCTGTGGAGGGAGGAGGAGCAGGAGGAGGAGAAGGAGGAGGAGGAGGAGCAGGAGCAGGAGGAGGAGGAGGAGGAGGAGGAGGGAGGAGGAGGAGGAGGGAGGAGGAGGGAGGAGGAGGAAGAAGAGGAAGGAGAAAGAAAGAGGATGGGGACAGTCGGAAACGTCGAATCCGCGTCGGCTCGGGTGTGCCAGAGAATGCCGCCTCGTCCTGCTGCAGATCGCCCGCCACATCCTTCAGGCTCGCGACCTGGGCGCCGCCCCGTCCGCAGGGGAGGAGAGGAGGGGAGGAGGTGGTGTGTGTGGGGGGAGGGGGGGTGGCGGCACGGAGGACGGGAGGGGGGAGGGGAGAAGGGAGGGGCCTCGCTCGGACCTATCAGGGAGGGCGGCGGGGCGAGCGTCGCCGTACCCCACCTGGCCGACAGGAAGCACATCGCGTGCGAGGGCAGCGGCCACCCCACCGCGGCGGGCGTCGCTCGGACTTGCAGGGGGAGCGACGGGCCCAGTGCCGCATCTCGCCAGGCCGCCGCGCGCAGCAGAGTGGGCACGGCGCGGGGTTCGGGAGCGCGGGATCGCCGATGCTGCCGACGACGGTGGCGTCGGTGCCGAAGCCTTGGCGCACACCTCGTCATGTGGATCCGACTCCTTGTCCACCACGAGGGTTAGGCCGGGCATGTCCTCCTACGGGCTAATTTTGGAAGAAAAATATCAGATCGTCAAAACACATCAACAATGATCAAATATAGTCGAAAAGCCGTTTCCATGGTGTTGTTTGATGTGTCTTGCAGACTCCTCCTGTAGGGGGACTTGCCCGACTTAACATGAGGATCGGGCCGCGACTTGCTCCCCACCGCCAGCCTGTGAACGCCTGCGCACTCCAGGGACTTTTTCCCGTATCCAGATGTACGCCTGTCACATGTTGTGCAATTGCGTGCGCGACATGTGATATATGTGTATCATACAGTGGGGGCCCGACCACGAGAACCCTTCCACAAGAAACCCAACACTGAAATCCCGGGACGTCCATCGTTTTTTGTTGTGGGAACGTCACGCCTCCCAGGACAGAACCATCGAAACCCAAGACGCCCAGGGCACCGTGGATGCAAGCAGGGTGTTTCTTGGCAAAGGCCTCCCTGCATGTGTCGCGAGTTCAAGGGACCGCGAAAGTGAATCACACTACCGCACCAACGGCGGCTCACGAAGCGGCCCCTTTTCCAGCACAGGTGAAGAAGGAGCAAGGGTCATGCACACGTGGGCTTGCACCCCTCACAACAAAAATCCGCCACCGTGTCTCCAGCACGCAGTGGAGTGCAGCAAGGCCCGTGCGGCCCAGAGGGGTGGAGGGGTTGCATTGGTGGTCTCCAAACCAGGTGGTGAGACACCCGGTGGTGACCCCGACTCCCCCAAAACATAATTCTGGGTCACCACCGGGTTTGGGGACACGCGGTCGCCACGAGGTTTTGCGTCTCCTGGGCCAGCCAGCGCTCGAAAACCATGACCCAAATCGCCCAAAACTCACCACCTGGTGTTCTCACCACCACGTTCCCAGACCCCCGACGTCATGTTTTTTTCATGACGTCGACCCCCAGAGGTCTGGACCCACTCCCCAGGACCGGTTTTTCGTCCTGAGTCGTTTTTTGACGGTCCCGAGGGCCGGTAAGGGCCCCCAGAGGCCGAAAATCATGAAGAACCTCCCGTCGTGATTTTTTCATGACTCGAGGGGATCTGGGTTTGGGGACCACCAATTGCAGGGCTCATAGGAGCCGGACCCCCGATTCCCCAGGCGCTCCCGGGCGCTGCCGGGGTGTGTGTCGCATGGCCCCCATGTCAAGGGGACGTAAGACCCGGGTACAGGGGACTCGTAAATCCCCGACGAGGTCGTCAAAAAAATGACGAGGCCGAGCCTGCAGTTTGACGAGGCCTCCCGCTGCAGACATCCCACGAAACTCCTCCTCGTCAGAATCCGAGGCGCGGTCGTCAAAAAACGATGGCGAACCCGAGTCCTGGCAAACCCGGGTCTTACGCTCCCCCGATATGAGCCGGACCCCCGATTCCCCAGGCGCTCCCGGGCGCTGCCGGGGCGTGCGTCGCAGGGCCCCCCCGGGGCGGCGACCCCGCCCCGCGGGGGCCACGGCACGGGCGGAAGAGGGCCCCCAGAAAGTCCCCGGCAAGGCCCGAGAGGCCTCCGAGGCGGCCCACAAGCTCTCCGAGACGCTCGAGACTGAAGGGGCCCACAAACACACAAATCAATACGCACAAATAAAACGATTCCCCATAGTTTCCCACATTTTCCGAGTTTGTGTCTTCCCCACCACTTCCCATATTTTCCCATATTTTCCGGGGGATCGACGATTAATTGTGTCTGTGTGTTTCTTCCCCTCCTGAGAGACGGCCCAGGAAGCCTTCGAGACGCCCCGCGAGAGCCCCACGAGCCTCCCCAAGAGGGCCCCGAGAGGCCCAACTCAAGGAGTTTCCGCAGATTGTTCCATGCGTTTTCACGGTTCCAGCTCCCGACGCTCCAAAACGCCACAAGAGGCCCCCACAACCGTCCGAACACGGCCACAGAGGCCCCCAAGAAGAGGGACCCAAGACGGCCCAAGCAGGCCCCAAGACGGCCAAAAGAGGCGCCAAAGAAGGCTCAAGAGGCACCGAAGACGGCCACAAAATGGGCCCAAGACGGGGAACACGAATCGGAGATCTAAGCCTTCCGCCCCAAAAGGCGCCCGAGGCCTCAAGAGGCCCCAGGAGGTCCCCAAGGGGCCCCAAAAAATTCTCCCCCCCAAAACCCCAAACAGCCCCCCAAAAATACTCGAACTGCCTCCAGGAGGCGCCCGAGAGGCCTCTCCATTGAGCAGGGACCGACCGTCCCGGCAATCCTACAGGCCTACCACGACATGTTCCCAGAACCCAAAAAAATCCGAAACACAGAAGCACGGTTCTTAGAACGAGAGCTCAAGATGTTTAAACATGACAGTCCCAGCCAGAACAGTTCGAAGCACATTTTGTGCGAACCACACAAGGCTTGTAGAACATTCTTTGGTGGGCTAATCGGGAAACCAGGACGCGTCGCCACTGCTTGCATCCAAGAGAACTCAGACCCACAACCCAAGCACGGTGGCGGGATGGGCCAAAGGCCATGAGATCCGCCGCCCCCTTCTGCTTCAGCAAAGGGGTGTCCGGCGTGCCAAATCCTATCGGTTTTGGTTTTGGTTCTTTGTCCAAGAGAACTCTCCCAGTGGGTTTCGGCCCGGCCCGCCGGGGTCCCGGGATTTTTTCCACGGACCTCACTTCCCCAATTTTCTGCCCAAGACGGCTCCAAGATGGCGTCCAAGATGGCCAAGATGGCCCAAGATGGCCTCCAAGATGGTCCAAGATGGCCTCCAAGACGGCCCAAGAGAGTCCAAGAGGGGCCAAGAGGCCCCCCAGAGGCCTCCCAGACGGCCCAAGGGGCCTCCAAGAGGTCCTCCAGGAGGGCCCGAAGAGGCCAAAATCATTGATGTTCCTGAGGTTTTTTCTGGGATTTTGGAATTTGCTTCTTCTCGGCATTCCGGCGGTTCCAGACGGCCCAAGAGGCCCCCAAGATCGCCCAAGAGGCCCCCAAGAAGGCCCCATGACGGCCCAAGTGGCCTCCAAGATGGCCCCAAGAGGGCCCCAAGACGGCCCAAGAGGCCTCCAACACGCCCAAGATGGCCTCCAAGACGGCCCCGAAGCGCCCTAAGAGGGTCCCCCGTTGGCCCTGAAAGGCCCCTCAAGACGGCTCCCGATGGCATCAGACGTGCCAGGAACCCACCAAGATGGCCGAAGTTGGCTCGAAGCTGGCCCAAATGGGTCCAAGAGGCCCCCAAGAGGGCCTCCAGGAAGGCCAGAAGAGGCCCAAAACATTGATTTCCCTAAGGTTTTTGACAAATTTTGAGATTTCCTTCTGTTCGGCCTTCCGACGGCCCGAGACGGCCCCAGAGCCCCCAAAGATCGCCGAAAGATCGCCCAAGAGGCCTCCAAGACGGCCACGATGACCTTCAAGATGCCCACGTGTTCCCCGAAGGCTTGCCAAACCGATTCGGGGAACACATGGTCCGATGGCTTGGCAGGTCTGGCCTCAACGTTCGGCCATATAGGCGCTTCCAAAAAGGCAGGGAGGGGGCGGCGGTGATTCGCCGTAGGCGTCTTCGATCCGCCGCCCCCTGTCGATTCATCGCAGGGGTGCCTGGCGTGCTGGACTTTTACGGTTTTGGTTTTGTTTTTTTTTTTTCACAAGAACTCTCCCGATGGGTTTCGGCCCGTCCCGCTGGGGTCCCGGAAGGATTGCCCAGGAGCGCAAAGTCCAGAAACAAATCCTCCAAGACGGCTCCAAGATGGCCTCCAAGATGGCCAAGATGGCCCAAGATGGCCTCCAAGATGGTCCAAGATGGCCTCCAAGTCCGCCCAAGATGGTCCAGGACGGCCTCCAAGACGGCCCAAGAGAGTCCAAGAGGGGCCAAGAGGCCCCCCAGAGGCCTCCCAGACGGCCCAAGGGGCCTCCAAGAGGTCCTCCAGGAGGGCCCGAAGAGGCCAAAATCATTGATGTTCCTTCGGTTTTTTCTGGGATTTTGGAATTTGCTTCTTCTCGGCATTCCGGCGGTTCCAGACGGCCCAAGAGGCCCCCAAGATCGCCCAAGAGGCCCCCAAGAAGGCCCCATGACGGCCCAAGTGGCCTCCAAGATGGCCCCAAGAGGGCCCCAAGACGGCCCAAGTGGCCTCCAAGATGGCCCCGAGAAGGCCCCAAGACGGCCCCAGAGGCCTCCAACACGCCCAAGATGGCCTCCAAGACGCCCAAGATGGCCTCCAAGACGGCCCCGAAGCGCCCTAAGAGGGCCCCCCGTTGGCCCAGAAAGGCCCCCCAAGATGGCTCCCGACGGCGTCAGACATGCCAGGAACCCACCAAGATGGCCGAAATTGGCTCAAGCTGGCCCAAGACGGCCCAAGAGGCCCCCAAGAGGGCCTCCAGGAAGGCCAGAAGAGGCCAAAAACATTGATGTTCCATAGGTTTTCGATGGATCTTGAGATTTCCTTCTTTTCGGCCTTCCGACGGCCCGAGACGGCCCCAGAGCCCCCAAAGATCGCCGAAAGATCGCCCAAGAGGCCTCCAAGACGGCCACGATGACCTTCAAGATGCCCAAGTGTTCCCCGAAGGCTTGCCAAACCGATTCGGGGAACACATGGTCCGATAGCTTGGCAGGTCTGGCCTCAACGTTCGGCCATATGGGCGCTTCC